AGAAATCAGTCACAGACACTACTCCCTCACCCCTCACCCCTCACCCCGGGACAGTGGGGCAGAACTGTCCCTCCCCATCCCCTCCCTCTGGGACTGGCTGGGACAGTGGGTCAGACGCTGTACTACCCACCACCCCACTTCCCTCTGAGACCGATGGATCCTGGATCTCACCGGGATGTCCCAGTCAGAGGAGACTGTGGTGCAATGTTAACACCAGCAGACTTTTTCACCCAGGCTAATGGCCGAGCAACGTGGGTTCCAATCTACCGCAAAAATTCTAACTCAATCAAAAATGCAGAAACTAAAAGCTAGCCCCGTGGAACCACATCGTTCCTGGACATGGAAGGAAATTCCCGATCCTTATCTCGGCTGATGTACACACCTGACTCCTGACCCACAGCCACTGAGTGCCCTAAAATGCCATTCTGTTCCAGGGCAGGATGGGAAGTGACCGCTGGGCCATGCCAGTGACATCCACGTCGCCTTGTGTTTGCGCTCAGAAATGCTCATTACACCAGGGTTGAAAGGCTCGCTATGTGGTAAAGGCAGCCCCGCTACCTGCCACCCCCCGCCTCCCCAATGCGTGGTCAGGCCTGAGACCACTCACCGTGCTTCCCGCAAACCCAGGGTGGTTCCATCCGAGGACCGAGTATCCCGCTGAAAAAAAACCAGGGAGAGAGAAGGAAAATTGAAACAAGGGGCACCGTCAATTCCGGTCAAATTCTTAAGCCCAGTCGGAGGCTGTTTGGCCCATCCAGCTGGTACTGGCTCCTTCCAAGAGCTGCCCAATCAGCTACCCCCACCCCCACCCCCCCCCCCACCAACCCCCGCACTCGCTTCCCTTTTTAAACTGCAGCGGTGTCTCTCTGCTGAGAGAGATCAGCTTCCTCTGCATTCCAGATCAACACAGAATACAAAACAAAACGAGCCAACTGCAGAAACGCTGCAAATCAGAGAAATTGCTGGAAAAGTCAGCGAGGGATTTTGAAGAAAGGACACCGGACCCGAAACGTTCACTCTGGTCTCTCGCCACAGAGGCCGCCAGACCTGCTGGGTTTCTCCAGTGATTTCTGATTTTGTTCCAGATCAACACAGTCACTGCCTGTAAATATAACTCCCATCTCTGCTCTGAGCCATACTGCAACTCTCTCAAACCGGTGTCCCCCTCCCGCAAGAAGGGACAGTGATTCCTTGTCCTTTTTTAACTGAAACCTTTTCAGCTCAGCGGTTAGCACTGCTGCCTCACGGCGCCAGGGACCCGGGTTTGATCCCACCCTCGGACGACTTTCTAAGTGGAGTTTGCACATTCTCCTCATGTCTGTGTGGGTTTCCTCCGGGTGCTCCGGTTTCCTCCCACAGTCCAAAGATGTGCAGGTTAGGGCGTATTGGCCATGCTAAATTACCCATAGTGCCCAGGGATGTGCAGGCTGGGTGGGTGAGCAATGGGAAATGCAGGGTTACAGTGGTAGGGAGGGTGGGATGCTCTTCAGAGGGTCAGAGTGGACTCGAAGGGCCGAATGGCCTGCTTCCACACCGTAGGGATTCTATGAATCTTGATTTGACCTCCCCCGATCTCTGCTGGCTGACAAACGACCCAAACTTGTCCCGTCTCTCGTCCCTTCCTGTAAAGCTCCTCATACACTCCATTTCTGAGTGACCGCCAATCTGGCCAGCAGGGAGTGTGGTTTCCAGGGTGAGTGGAGGTCATGGTGCCAGGTCACATTCCAGTGCCTGGAATAAACAAGGGTAGACAGGAAAGCTGGAGGAACCACACTGCAGTCAGCCAACTCGCTGCCTTGGTTAAAATGAACCAGCCGCATTGAAATAGCCGGAGAAAGAAAGCCGGGGCCATGCCTTGTGCCGATCAGGACAAAATCTCAAGAGTGCCAAATCTCAGAGAACGCCAACTTATATCGCACGAGAAAGGGGGTGCTGATTGGTTAGCCAATGGACTCTGGTTGGTGGATACGTTGCCATGCAGAACGCAGCAGGGAACCAGGAACTGGCAAACTCTGGCTTGAACTCAAACCAGGATCGGTCGAGGTGCTAAAGCTGTGTTCTCGACAGGAGCCTCATACCTTCCATTGGGGTGCTGACACAGCCAACCTCATAGAAACCAGCGTTCCCTTCACAGCAGACCACCTGTAGTGGACAGGAGGGATATCCGTTATTACAGAGCAGGCTGGCAGAGGCTGTAATGTACCCTCAGCGCATCCCCAACACTCCTCCCCTCTCTCTCTCTATCCCCACGGCCCCCACCTCCAAGATTCTCAGCTCACTGAGAGGCCATTCAGCCTTCGCAGCGCTCCTTCGAAACAGCAACCCAGTTAGTTACACAACTCCTGCCCTTTCTACACCCCTCACACTCCAAAGCCCTTCTATTTTATTCCCTTCTCAAGCATTTAACATAACTGTACAGCACAGGAACGGGCCCTTCGGCCCAAGGATGCTGTGTCAAACATGACTCCTAATGAAACTAATCCCTCTGCCTGCCTGTGATCCATATCCCTCCATTCCTTGCACATGCATGTGCTTATCTAAAAGCCCCTTCAGCGCCGCTATTGTATCTGCCTCTACCACTACCCCCTGGAACATTTTTCAGACTCCTGCCACTCTCCATGTAAAAAACTTGCCTCTCACATCTCCTTTGAACTTTCCCCCCTTCACCTTAAATGCGTGCCGCCTAGAATTAGACATTTCAACTCTGGGAAAAAAGATTTTGACAGTCAACCCTATCTATGCATCTCATAATTTATAGACTTCAATCAAATCTCCCCTCAGCCTCAATGCTCCAGAGGAAACAATCTGAGTTTTTCTAGCCTCTCCTTCTAATCCAGGCAGCATCCTGGTAAACCTGTTCCGTCCCATCTCCAAACCCTCCACATCCTTCCTGTAATGTGGGGACCAGATACTCCAAGTGTGGCCTAACCAAAGTCTGATAAAGCTGCAACATGACGTCCTAACTCTTGTACTCAATTCCCCGACCAATAAAGGCAAGCATGCCATACGCCTTCTTTACCACCCTATCTACTTGCATCGCCACTTTCAGGGAGCTATGGACTTGAACCCGAAGATCTCTCTGTACATCAATGCTGTTCAGGGCCCTGCCATTTTATCAAATTCCTTTTGTTCGGAGAGTGAGCATTCCATCTTCTTTCACCATCCCTACAGGCTGGCCTTTCAGATTGGCACCATGCCCTGCTCAGGGTGAAAACAAGTCTTCCACCTCTTTGTTGGTTTTAAATCCACGCCCTCTGCCCTCTGACAGACTTGGCAGGAAAACCACCATCTCCTTATTCACTCTCAACCAGCCAGCAAAACCTGGGACACCTCCAACAAATCTCACCTTCCACAAAACCCCAGCTCCTCCAGCCCTCTCACTGTAAACCCTTCCGCATTCAAGCGAACAGATGGGGGACCTAGAGTCATGGAACCATATGGCACAGAAACAGACCCTTCAGTCCAACTAGTATACACTGACCAAGTTTCCCAAACTAAACCAGTCCCAATTGCCTGTGTTTTCCCCATATCCCTCTAAACCTTTCTGATTCATGTACCTATTCAAATGTCTTTCAAATGTTGTAATGGTACCTGCATCCAACACTTCCTCTGGCAGCTCATTCCACACATAAACCACCCTCTGTGTAAAAAAGTTGCCCCTCAGGTTCTTTTTAAATCTTTCTCCTCTCACATTAAAAATATGCCGCTAGTTTTGAACTCCCCAGCCCTAGGAAAAAGATCTTAGCTATTCACCTTATCCATGCCCCTCAAGATTTTATAAATCTCTATAAGGTCACCCCTCAACCTCCTACGCTCCAGGAAAAAAGGTCCAAGCCTCTCCTTGTATCTCAAACCCTCCATTCCCAGCAAAACCCTGGTAAATCTTTTCTGGACCCATTCCGGTTTAACGATATCTTTCTTATAACGAAGCGACCAGAAGTGGACACAGTACACCCCTGTGAAAACAGACTGCAGGAGACAGAGAATGGGTCTGGTGAAGACCATGAGCAGAACCTGTTCCCAACCACGAAAGGACCGGAAATCAGAAGGTGTAGACTCAGAGCAATTGGTGAAATGGGAGGAAATACTCTTTCAGGAGGAGTGTGGTTGGTGGCTGGAATTGTACTGCCTGACTGTGCAGTGAATTTAAACTCCACCGATTCAGACTGAGCTGAAACCCAGTGCAGGAGACAGGATGCTGTACACACGCAGTAGGTCCTGGGACATCACACCATTACTGAACAGCAGCTTGTACTGTCAAGGCTGTGTGGTTCTTAACAGCCTTTCAGAAAGCAGGGGCACGTTTACACAGCTGCAAACCACAAGCGGGTCTCTACCACATCTTACAGCCCTAACATCCGAGAAATTGATGAAGTTTGACGTCAGTAATTTAAAGTAGGGTCAGACTGTTATCACACCAACTAAAATTAGCCTTCTGCTGCAAATCCAAAGAGCAAGGTGCTAAGTTTGGTTACGTGTATGGAAGACGTGTAAAGACAGGCCCCTAAAGAGATAACAGAATTGGTCAAGTAGCAGGAAAGTACCGTGAACTGTGAATGAAGAGGAACTGCTGGGACTGTTGCATACATCAGATCTGTTTAAAAGATCGGCTCAAAATTCCATGCACATTGAAGGTTTCTCTCAAAGACTTCTCCCAAACATACAAATATTTCTTTGGTGCCGATGATCTCCTTTGTGTTTATTTCTAACCCACGCCGTGCCGCTGATAGGTACGCCTTTCAGAGCCACACTGTGGTCTTGCACATCTTTGTGTGATGCCCCACCTAGCTGAGCTACCAGCCACACACACAGCCTGTCTGAAAAGGAACGTGGGTTTATTAAGCAGACGCAGCTGCCCAGAAAGAGCCCCTGAGGACATGACAGGCTCCATCCTGCTCTGTAACAGTACCGATTCTGTGAAAACTGAAGTCCCTCATCTCTGTTACTAATCAAGAAATTTCCATACTGACCACATGTAAAAGGCCTTTATGCCTCCTGTTTTCTGTTAAACAAGCAGTCTTTAATCTGTGCCAATATGTTACCCCCTACAACACGTGCTTTCATGTTCCACAGCGACCTCTGACGTGGGAGATTATCAGATTCTTGCTGGAAGTGTAAATACAGCATGTCCACTATCTCCTCTTCGTCCTGGGACAATAGTGAGGCTTTCAGAGGGGTGTTTTGTCCTGATTTCTTTTACAGAGAGACTGGGGGACAGGTGCTAGACAGTCTATGAGAAGATAAACAACTTGTGAAGCCTCGGGTGTTTGTTTCTAAATGAAAGCTGCAACAAGAGAAGTAGCCTGAATGGGTGTGATCAAGCTCCCACCCGCAGAACCTTTAGTTTATAGCAGCAGCTGCTGTTCGGGTCCTGAAGAAGTAGAAAGTATTCCCCCCTCCACACCTCCCCCCACTCTCAATTACAGCCAAAAGGTGAGCGGGGGGGGGTTCTTTTCCTAGGCTGGTGGACTGCATGTAAGACAAACTCTGTTTTCTGAATTTGCCTTTTTGCCAAGGGGTGTGTTTATGGGATGTTTCTATATTGGAACAGTTCTGTATCTATTATTTGCTTAAGTTTTCCAATAGAGTTGTTATTCCAAGTCCTCCTTTCTTTTGTTGTATTTTAACCACAGTGTTTGAATAAATTGTCTTTTGCTTAATTTTCAGTAGCTTGACCAATGAAATTTCATGTGGAACATGGAACTTTACTTTTGCCTTTTAAATAAGTAGTTAGGGTCTGGGCTACGTTCTTAAAATATTTTGAGGGGGTCTGGTCTGGTCCATAACAATCCACGGTTCACAATACTTCCTTCAATGACTCCAATTGTCTGGTTACACACAATTTTCCTTTCACTAAACCACGTCAACTCTGCCCAATTACCTCGGACATAACTGCTAACATTTTCCCCATGACAGACGCAATGGCTCTGCAGCTTCTTGTTCTCTGTCTCCCCCCGCTCCCTTGATGAATAAATGAGTTATGTTCACTGTCTTCCAATCTAATGGGACCTTCCCCAAATTTGGAAAGTTACAGAAAATTAAAACTAATGCATCAATAATTTCACCAGTTGTTACTTTTAAGACCCAAGAACGCAGTTCATCAAGACCTGGGCACTTATTAGCCACAGCATTAACTATTTACTCAGTACCAGTTCTCTGGTGATTGTGAATTTCCTGAGTCCATGTCTCCCTTCCATTTCCTGAATTACTGCTGTGTCTGGGATTACCTCCATCCTCTACAGTGAAGACTGATGCAAAACAGCTGCTCAATTCATCTACCAACCTTTTAATTCCATTATTAATTTTCCAAACTTTCACTTTATAGGATTAATGGTCACTTTCTTAGCTCTTTTGTTTTTTTTTAAAGAAGCTCTTACTATCTGTTTTTAAATTACTGGCTACCTGTAATTTTCTCAATTATTTCCTTGATGTGGAGGTGCCAGTGTTGGACGGGGGTGGACAATCTCCCATGTCACCAGGTTACAGTCCAACAGGTTTATTTGAAATCACAAGCTTTGGGAGCGCTGCTCCTCCATCAGGTGCAGTGCATTTCATCTGACAAAGGAGCAGCGCTCCCAAGCTTGCGATTTCAAATAAACCTTTTGGACTATAACCTGGTGTCGTGTGACTTATTACTTTCGTGGCTATTCTTGGCTGTTTTTCATATTCCATTCAATCTTCCGATGTGCCGCCTGTCTTCGCAAAATTATATCGATTTTTAACACTATCTTTAATATATCCTGTTAACCATGGATGTCTCCTACAACCTCTTCCGACGGGCACAAGGTACAGAAGCTTAAACACATGCGCCACTAATGAAGAACAGGTCCTTCCCTGCCCCTATTAAACTGATGAATGGACTCTCTAACTTCAAATAACGTTGACCTTGTTAATGTTGATCTTGCCTAAAACGTCGCCTGTGCGATGTAACCTGCACGCCTTACTGTCTTTTTCATCTATATGCCCTTGCTTACTATGATCTGCCTACACTGCTTGCAAACAAAGCTTTTCACTGTACTTAGGTATCAAATCAAATCAAATCATTTGTCCCTCAGAAAGAATTCCAACATGTAAGAAACAATGTATTCTGAAATATCCCCTCAAATGCCTGCCACTACAACTGGATTGATTTATTTTTCTTTATTCATTCACGGGATGAGGGCATCACTGACCAGGCAGCATTTACTATCCATCCCTAATTGCCCAGAGGGCAGTTAAGAGTCAACCACATTGCTGTGGGTTTGTAGTCACATGTAGGCCAGATGAGGTAAGGATGGCACTTTCCTTCCCTAAAGGACATGAGTGAACCAGATGGGTTTTTCCAACCATCGACAATGGATTCATGGTCATCATTAGACTCTTAATTATAGATATTTTATTGAATTCAAATTCCACCATCTGCCGTGGCAGGATTCGAACTCGGGTCTCCAGAACATTATCTGGGTCTCTGGATTAACAGTCCAGCGATACTACCACTAGGCCATCGCCTCCCTCAAGGACTCAGGATCTGTCCTTTAATTTATTTAAAGGTAAAATGCAGGAGATGGGAGATCTGAAATGAAAACAAAAGATGCCAGAGAACCTTAGCAGTTTTGGCAGCATCTGTGAGAGTTAACGTTTTGAGACCAACATAACTCTCCTTGAAATTCTTGATGAGTCATTTCAGACTCGAACCGTCAACTGTGTCTGTCTCCTTCTCTCTCTTTCTCCACAAATGCCACCAGATTGCTGAGCCTCTCCAGTGTTTCATTTTAATTATTATCCTTCAAGGTAATTTTCCTATTCACTTCAGCCAAATGGGTTTTCATGCTCACGTAACTGTCTTTATTTTAACGGGAAAGTCTCAGTCTGGCTCCTCTCTCTCTCTCTCTCAAATCGAAGGCAAAGTTCAATTGTGTTGTGATTGTGCTGTGATCACGAGGAGATCATTAATTAATCCTGTCACATTGCACAATACCTGGTTATTACAGATTGCTATCCGGGGCATGCTTTTCTCATAAACGAGCCTCTGCATCCTGCCCGAGATTTCAACATTCTTTCTAAAGCGAGCTGCCCAGAACTGAACACACGACTCCTCCTGTAGTTGGCCCAGTGTTTGCTGTGGGCTCATGTAACTTCCTCAATTTCGTAGACTTGCCCCATCACTTACGTGGTCAAGCATTCCAAGAATGCAGTCTAACAGCTTTCTGAGCTGGTCCTCCTTGAGTACATGCTGTCCAAGTCACTCTGTTCTGGCATTCCCACGCTAATTGGGAACTTTTCTTCCCATAGTTTATATTACATCTCATCATTCTCCACCACAAACCTCTGGAACACTTTCCCATGGGGAGGTGCTTCACCACAGAAATAGTACAATTAACAGGAAAAGGCAGGGTTTTAGATAAAGATATGCTTTTCCCACTGGTTGGGGATTCTAGACCTAGGGAGCACAATCTGAGAGTGAGGGTGTTCAGGGAGAGACATTTGGAAGCACTTCGACACACGAAGGGTGGGAGAGGTTTGGAACTCTCACACAGCAGTGGGTGCTGGGTCAGTCGTTCGTTCCAAATCTGGGATCGATAGGCTTTCCTTATGCAGACGGTTTTAGGGGAATATGGGTCAAAGGCAGGTAGACGGAGTTAGGACACAGATCAACCTTGATCTTACTGGATGATGGAGGAGGGGCTGAATGGCCTTCTCCCGTTCCTATGACGGTTTGCATACAGCGTGCCTGTTTCAGAGTGCTGGCGTACGCAGTTCCACTGCTGAGTGTTAGCCTTGTGGCTCGACATGCTCCACTCTCACCTCCCAAGCCAGAAGGGGGAGGGGGATCTGCTGCCCCCCAACCCCACCCCGCGGTGTTTTCTTTGTCCCTCGCACACAAGTTGGTCTAACCACGCAACATTTACAAACCCCTTCGCTGCAGAGTCAGGCTCCACCGGCCACATACAGAGCCAGCTGTGTGCAGGGTCCTTCAGGCTGGTCCACAATTGCTCGCGGCTCGTGGATCATGCTTCCCCAGGGAGACCAAGCTGTGCCCCCAACTGCAGCAAACTGGCAGGGGGTGGCGGAGGTGGGGGGGGCGTGCAGTGGCAGAGCGGCAATGAGACCCCAAGCTGGTGCTCAAATCCCACCCCAGCAGCCAGAAATCTGGAAATGGAAGAAAGCGAGCCCTGGCGAACGAGTGACCTCTCTCTCGGTGATTACAATAGAAAACCCATCGGGCTCCGCTTTGGGAGGGAAATCTGCCCTCCTTACCCAGTCTGGCCCACACGTGACTCCAGGCCCACAGCAAGGGTGCTGGCTGTGAAATGGGTGAGCGAGCGAGCGAACAGGTGCACTAGAGGCCTGAGCATTGCCAGCTTGCGTTTCGTGCTGGGGGTGAGACGGGAAAGTGACACACTGTACGGGAGAGACACATCACACAACAGTAACCTTTGGCCGTCCCAGTCCCTCCCTTACCAGCTTTTTCCCACGCTCGGTCTCCGACGCCCTCCGGTCCACAAACACTGTATCGATCTGGTTTCCGTCACAGGCGAGCAGCTTAGCTCGCTTCCCTTGGTACTGCGAAAGGGAACAAAGATGGGGGGTGCAGGGGGGAAATAAAACACAGTGCGACCTTCATCACAGACTCCACTTTCAGATATTTGGGCAGCCCAATGACACACACTCAAGCTCCCGCGGACAGGAGATTTTTCTTTTCTTTAACCTACTTGACTGATCAAATCGTTCAGAGGTGTTATTACACAGCTCCAGAGCTTGAACCCAGGCCTCCCAGTCCAGGGGCACTACCACTGTACTGCAGGAGGCCCCAATACGGAGAGGATAATTTTTCTTTTCGGACGAAAAGGCCAGCACTGGTCGGGAAATGAAGATCAGTCACGACTCTCCGAAAAGCTGCTGTGAGATGTGCCCAGGGTGGGTGTAACATCAGACGTGAAAGCGCGACAGCTCCCACCAACTCATCCCGCGCCTCCCAAAGTGGCAGTGTCAGCCCAGAATTACCCACTTCGCTCTCCGTCTCTCGCGTGGGAATCTGTACCCAGGGGCATGTGTGACACAGAGACAATCGTCAGGTTGTGGGGGGACACGGGGCTGGCCGGCTCTGCATTGCTGCCCTTACCTCCTCCATCAGACGCGCCTGTCCCTGTAGCAGCATCGGCATGATGGCTTTCTGGAGCAATGAAACCGAGCCGGGGTATAGCATCCGTCGACCAAACGAGTGGGCCATTAAATAGCTGCAAAACAAACAGGGAGGCAGGTCACGGGGGGCTGCACCACGCAAGGCACGGCTCACACACAATAACTGATGGATACAGCACTGACCCAATCTCCAGTTTGCCACAGCAGCCAAGAAAGTAGAGGAAAAGCTTAAAAAATAACACACGCACGCACACAGACACGCATCCAGACACACACCCACTTACGTACACGTACACAAACACACACACAAACACAAACACAAAAACACAGACACACTTACATACAGAAACACACACACACACACACACACACACACACACACACACAAAGTATGGGAGGAAGCACAGGACAATCAGAGACAGGAGTAGCGTGGAGCAGACGGCTGACTGGTGTACAGAGAAATCCAACCCGACTCTGGTTTCGTTTCCAAACGTACGCAGAGGTGCTGCAGTGGCACGGCAGGGAGCTTACCCAATAATCTGGCCGGGCAAGCTGAGGATCTGAGTGACCAGGTTGTTCCCAGTTGTCCCTCTGGATTTCAGATCGGGTTTCAGCAGCGGAACTCCAGCCTTGCTCAGCTTCACCGATCGATGGTCCTTCCTGGCACGGCAAGAAAGGGACCGCTCAGTGGGTGGCACAGCACGTTACAGAGCCTGGACAGACAGGAAGGTGGCTGTTCGGCCCTTTGTCCCGATCCAAGTTACAGAATCGTGGCCAGTCTGCATTCACCTTCTGTATAAAACCTACCAGGCCCTGGCTCGGACATTGTCAGCTGTGTCACAGTCTCCAGGGGCTTGCTGAGAGGACAGACACGCAGGTAAATCTACACCATCCTTGATGGGAGGAGCTGCTTCCTGACATTACCGAACCAGCTGCCTCCACATGTTTGAGGATTATGGCCACCCTCCCACCAAATCCGACCTAATCTGGACTCCCCCCAGGTTAGCCCCTCTCCCCTTCCCATTCACCAATCCCTTTAATCCCCTCGAAAGCCTCGACACACGAGCCAAGTCTGTCCTACCCCACCCTCAGAGTGAGGGGGTCAACGTTACATGACAAATCAGGAGTGGGCCTGAGGCCATTCCACCCCTCAACATGACCTCATCTTCATTTTGTAACTAGAACCCCTCACAGCCTCTGGAACTCCAGACTGATCCCCTCCCCAAGTGGATCGACAGTGATGGGTATACTCCACAAGGTAGCCTTCACTGCTCACCGAGGGGGAGAACTCTCGAGACCCTCGCACTCCCCATCCGCATTAAAGACTGAAACAGGGCTGCCTGGTCCCATATTCCAGCCTGGGTAGCAGGAATTAGTATTGAGCCTAATCCAACAAACACTGAACAGGAATTGCCGACCCATGGTCGGGGCACAACCTCAGTGTGGTCATACCCTAACTCCACTAGCCCAGTGCTTGCAGACCCCATTATAACCAATATAACAACGGGTTTAATAACCGTCCCCACCAACCCAGTGCTCGCAGACCCCATTATAACCAATATAACAACGGGTTTACTAACCGTCCCCACCAACCCAGTGCTCGCAGACCCCATTATAACCAATATAACCACTGGTTTACTAACTGTTCCCACTAGCCCAGTGCTCGCAGACCCCATTAT